ATGTTCTTCTACATCAAAACGTGTCCCCTCTTCTTCATGTCTCTTCTACATCAACATGGTGTCCCCTCTTCTTCATGTCTATTATACATCAACATGTGTCCCCTCTTTCATGTCTCTTCTTCATCAACATGTGTCCCCTCTTCTTCATGTCTCTTCTACATCAACATGTGTCCCCTCTTCTTCATGTCTCTTCTACATCAACATGTGTCCACTCTTCTCATGTCTCTTCTTCATCAACATGTGTCCCCTCTTCTTCATGTCTCTTCTACATCAACATGTGTCCCCTCTTCTTCATGTCTCTTCTACATCAACATGTGTCCCCTCTTCTTCATGTCTCTTCTCTTCAAACATGTGTCCCCTCTTCTTTATGTCTCTTCTTACATCAACATGTGTCCCCTCTTCTTCATGTTCTCTACATCAACATATGTCCCCTCTTCTTCATGTCTCTTCTACATCAACATGTGTCCCCTCTTCTTCATGTCTCTCTACATCAACATGTGTCCCCTCTTCTTCATGTCTCTTCTCATCAACATGTGTCCCCTCTTCTTCATGTCTCTTCTACATCAACACGTGTCCCCTCTTCTTCATGTCTCTTCTACATCAACATGTGTCCCCTCTTCTTCATGTCTCTTCTACATCAACATGTGTCCCCTCTTCTTCATGTCTCTTCTACATCAACATGTGTCCCCTCTTCTTCATGTCTCTTCTTCATCAACATGTGTCCCCTCTTCTTCATGTCTCTTCTACATCAACATGTGTCCCCTCTTCTTCATGTCTCTTCTACATCAACATGTGTCCCCTCTTCTTCATGTCTCTTCTACATCAACATGTGTCCCCTCTTCTTCATGTCTCTTCTACATCAACATGTGTCCCCTCTTCTTCATGTCTCTTCTACATCAACATGTGTCCCCTCTTCTTCATGTCTCTTCTACATCAACATGTGTCCCCTCTTCTTCATGTCTCTTCTACATCAACATGTGTCCCCTCTTCTTCATGTCTCTTCTACATCAACATGTGTCCCCTCTTCTTCATGTCTCTTCTACATCAACATGTGTCCCCTTTCTTCAGTCTCTTCACATCAACATGTGTCCCCTCTTCTTCATGTCTCTTCTACATCAACATGTGTCCCATCTTCTTCATGTCTCTTCTACATCAACATGTGTCCCCTCTTCTTCATGTCTCTTCTACATCAACATGTGTCCCCTCTTCTTCATGTCTCTTCTACATCAACATGTGTCCCCTCTTCTTCAGTCTCTTCTACATGTGTCCCCTCTTCCTCATGTCTCTTATACTCAACATGTGTCCCCTCTTCTTCATGTCTCTTCTACATCAAATGTGTCCCCTCTTCTTCATGTCTCTTCTACATCAACATGTGTCCCCTCTTCTTCAATGTCTCTTCTACATCAACATGTGTCCCCTCTTCTTCATGTCTCTTCTACATCAACATGTGTCCCCCTTCTTCATGTCTCTCTACATCAACATGTGTCCCCTCTTCTTCATGTCTCTTCTACATCAACATGTTGTCCCCTCTTCTTCATGTCTCTTCTTACATCAACATGTGTCCCCTCTTCTTCATGTTCTCTTCTACATCAACATGTGTCCCCTTCTTCTTTTCATGTCTCTTCTACATCAACATGTGTCCCCCCCCCCCCCCCCCAATGTCCCCCCCCCCCCCCCTACAACCTGTCCCCTCTTCTTCATGTCTCTTCTACATCAACATGTGTCCCTCTTCTTCATGTCTCTTCTACATCAACATGTGTCCCCCTCTTCTTCATGTCTCTTCTACATCAACATGTGTGTCCCCCTCTCTTCATGTCTCTTCTACATCAACATGTGTCCCCTCTTCTCCATGTCTCTTCTACATCAACATGTGTCCCCTCTTCTTCATGTCTCTTCTACATCAACATGTGTCCCCTCTTCTTCATGTCTCTTCTACATCAACATGTGTCCCCTCTGTGGAAAGAGACTCTGAAAGTTTCAGGAACAAAGATTCTCTCTCTTTTTGATCCATTTATATAAAAACCTGTCTGAAAATGAGTTGATCAGATTTTGGCCACTTTATGATGTCATAACGATGTTTTGTCTTGTGTAACCATTAGCCAATCAGCAACCAAGGTAACCCCCCCCCCCCCCACCTTATCACCTGAATCTCCTCCTAGAGCACCATTGAGTTCTTTGTAACCAAATGTCTCTCAGAGGGGCGTGGGGAGGGGCTCCTTATTTTCATCTAAAGTAACAGACAGAGAATCAGCACTTTGGAAACAGGGCTGAAACAGAGGGGATTATGGGTAATGCTGCAATGATCTGTTTGGTGTTTCAGCCAATCAGAGACAGGCTCTGTATTTATCTGAGACCTATAATATATTGATGAGAAACAGTACAATAGGGGACCTTCAAGAGACCTCCCCTCTGACCTGTGTTATTCCCCGCTGTGTCTCAGGATGAGGACGAGGTGGATCAAGGCACGATGGTTCGAGCGAGAACCGGCGACTCCGGAACGATCCGAGCTGTAGGGTCTCTGTCGGATTCGCTCAGCGGGACGGCCCGAACTATGATCTCTCATCACGACGAAGACACCATGCAGTCACAGCTCGGCACCATGGTCATCAACTCTGACGATGAGGACGATGAAGAGGCCGGCACCATGAAGAGTAAGACACTTTTTAACTTTCGTATAAAGTCTATCAGTCAAGAATGATCAGTTTTGGAAGAAGTGAGACTGCACTTCTCCACTCCACTTCATTTAAAATATCATCGAAATTGGAATGGTGCAGTATTCGTAGGAAGCACAATATTTGTTAAAAGCTCAATATGTATTAAAATACTAAGTCCCAGCGCACAATTCGTTATTCTCAAAATCCTTGTTTGGGACAAATTCTCCTAAAAAATCACACTATGGTATTTTTAAAATGTATTTCTTCAATTTTACTAAGAAAAATGTTGCAGAAATTATGAGTCGCTCCTTTATCGTAATCACTGCATCAGATTAAAATAGTTTAAAGTCAAAGCTGGCAAATGTGGAGCTTATTTGAACTGCTTTATAAACTACTGGGCAGTTCAATCTATTAAACAATGTATTTGTTGTTTATAACAACTTTGAAACTACAAACAAACTACAGATATTGAAATCCTGTAGTAGAGTGAAAAATGTAATCACATGCCACTTTATTACTGTACCTAATACACCCTGATGTGCTGTGATATAACGCTCAGATAAAGGTCATCATGAACAGGAATAGGCTCTCAGTTTACTGTAAGAGGAACAACCTGATGAGGAACAGAAGTGTGGACACAGGCTGTCAATACATCTGGCTTTAATGATGAACCAAAACTCATTATTACAAATCAATGGTCTTTCATTAGAAGTGTTTATGACATGCTGTAGTTGGTGAGCGCCAATGAAATATGAAGTCAAGTGAGTTGAAATGTTTTTGTTTAGTATCAGTGATGGCACCAGTGTGACATTCAAAGGTCCTTACACGTCAATCCGATTTTCGGCGTCTATAGATGTCCTACTCAGATTGGTGTGTCTTGGTGTGTACCGCACCGTCGTGTCTTTTCGGCCGTGCCGACATGTCCAAAGGCCGTCGGCCAAAGAAATCACTCTGATTGGCTGTTCAGCTAGCGAATCAGTGCATGAGAAACGAAACGGAAGTGAGGGACCCAAACAAACGATTAAGAAGGCCAATCTGAGGTTTCATTGAACTCCAGCTCTCGACTCAGGTTCGGGAAAGCCCCGTGAGCTTCTCGCTGTAGAGTGAACATGGAACACACACACTATTTGTTGTTTGTTTTATATCACGCAGTCTGTTCTTCTTCTCTCGGTTATCACGCAGTCTGTCTTCCGGTTATTGCCTCTTTTGAATGACGAATACACACTACCGCCGCCTGCTGGTAAGGAGAGTTATTGCCACTCACGCATGCGCAGTTCGTACGTGCTTCTTGGCCGTCGGCTGAAGTCTTTGCGGTGTGTTCCAGTGCGACTGTTGGCCAAGACGCAGAGACGTGAGGCGACGCAACAGTCGGGTCCGTCTGTGTGAGTTCTTTGGTGTCAGTTTGGTGAGTAGGCCCCTTAACGTGCTGACGCTTCATCAGATCCCCCAAATTGTAGCTGATTTTCAACATATAACAAAGTGCAGTTTCCCTTTTATCCACTAGAGGGTACTGTGTGACCATCTCTGACAACGTGTGTGTGTGTGTGTGTGTGTGTGTGTGTGTGTGTGTGTGTGTGTTGTGTCGGTGTGTGTGGTGTGTGTGTGTGTGTGTGTGTGTGTGTGTGTGTGTGTGTGTGTGTGTGTGTGTGTGTGTGTGTGTGTGTGTGGTGTGTGTGTGTGTGTGTGTGTGTGTGTGTGTGTGTGTGTGTGGTGTGTGTGTAGTGTGTGTGTGTGTGTGTGTGTGTGTGTGTGTGTGTGTGTGTGTGTGTGTGTGTGTGTGTGTGTGTGTGTGTGTTGTGTGTGTGTGTGTGTGTGTGTGTGTGTGTGTGTGTGTGTGTGTTGTGTGTGTGTTGTGTGTGTGTGTGTGTGTGTGTGTGTGTGTGTGTGTACAGGAGGTGGTCAGCTCACTAAGTACTACATACCCTAACCCTCTCCAACATTGGTCCACACAGATTGTTTACTGCAGTCTAGAAGAGTTCACCTCACGTCAAAAGCACAAAGGGGAACTTGTAATGGTAACATCATTCCTAAACCTCTCCAGGCTGTTTATACATTGCAGTCTTTTATATTGCTCCGGTTCAGGTGGTGTATTTTAAAGCACTTGGTAAATAATAAGAACAAATAATATGACAAGCTAAGAATGGATTTTTGACAGATATCAGAAGAGATGAGCCTGAACTCGGGCTCAGCTCAGGTCTAATTTAATTTAAGATAAGACTGAGTTAATCCTGGGGGAAATGGCTGCTGTGGTTACAAAGTAGGAAAATAGATATACTAAGAGGGTGGATATAACATCTATAACATGTATTACATTTACATTACATGTCACTTGTTAGAGGCTTTTATACTAAGCGACGTACATACATGCAGCACTGTGGGCCATCTCCACAGTGCTGCATGTATTGCAATATCAGAATATCCGTATAGGGAAAAACACTAAGTAATATAGGTACGTGTCAAATGTCATGTGTTTGAAACTAAATCACAGCAATGAAGAAGACATACTTTATGCTCCTCAATGTGTTGGTGTCATAATTAGCTCTTTTGAAAGACTTACGGCAATATTTATCAATTCTTTAGTTGGTTTTGATGGTTTAATTTTGCACAATATATGTTTAAGAAAATGGCTTTAATATCAAAGTTACTGCAAGAAACATTAGACATAATATTATAAAACGGACAAGTCAAATCAAGCAATCTGATTGGTTCTTAGCCGTGATATACTGAGCGTATACCACGGGTAGAATTGTAAGTTACTTTTCACAACAAGTCAGTATCCCTCCGCGTCTGAGAAAAACAGTATACAGTTGGGCTGAATGCTTTTCAGACTGGAACAAGAAAGCAGCGGAGAAGTAACGGGCAGAAACCCTCCTTTTCACGCAGCGGTCCAGACATAGACATCAAATGGCGACACATATTCAGTGTGCAGTTCCTTTGGCATTAGGGCACGGATATCTAGATACCTTCCAAGGTTTGACATAATTAATTGTGCTACTTTTAAAGCAAGCAACGATGTTTTCAAATCTGTATTCTATAACACATAGGTTTGAGCAAGCTCTCTGATTGGTCAATAGGCGTGTTTGATTCCACGATCAAACAACGATCAAATAGAACGTGCCTAATCACAAAGTATCCAGTGGCCTACACACGCCACAAGCCCACCGAAACTACTTCCATGAGCCTACATCGTGTGGTTTCCATAGCGACGTTTAGCGACACACAGCCGTTACACTGTTATACATTGTCTCTCGTTGGAAATCGGTAGCTACAAAATGTCAGATTTTAAAGTTAACTTTGATTTGTTGGGGGGCCTCAGTATTGATGAATGGTTGGACATGGACACAGACAGAAAGATGTGGAGCAACGCGCTTTTTGCCGGTCCGGGACACGCCATGAAACGGCCACTGGAGGAAAGCTCTTCCGATAACGTAGTCCTACCCGTGAACACCACAGCACCACCTGCAAAAAAGTCTGGCACGGAGTTCATGGAGAGCTGTTTCAAGAATTGCACTTTTAATGGCAGCATGAACATCCACCTTCATTCTGAACCCAAAATGTTTCAGCACCATGGACAGCCTGATCTGATTTGTTCCGCTAATCCCACACAGTGATTACTCAGATATTTAAATAGCCTAATTCAAGAATTGTTTTCAATAAATTGAAAACAATACAGGCGTACGGCGTACGGACAGGCGTACGGCGTACGGACAGGCGTACGGCGTACGGACAGGCGTACGGCGTACGGACAGGCGTACGGCGTACGGACAGGCGTACGGACCTCGGCGCAAGCGCCTCGGTCCTGCCGCAGTACTGTCGTACCAATAATGACGTTCAAGAACGGCCTCTCGTGTATGATTGCTTAAATCAAAGAGGTCCGCAAAAACGCTATCGACCAATCAGATTGCTTGATTTGACTTGTCAGTTTTATAAATATATTTACATTTCTTCCGTTACGAAACAAACTTACAAAACATAAAATGGAAACATTTAAGATTAACTTCGACCTCCGGGGGGGCCTTACTATGGAGGAGTGGATTGAGCAGTGCCTATCTCCAGAAAGAAAAGCACCTAAACGACGACATGCAGAGCTCCGTGAAGAGCAGGGAGACCAACTGGAGAAGTACCACCATTCAAAAGCTTTCTGATGCGGGTCTTGAAACAAAGCAGAGACATGATGAGCGTTAGTGGCCACAGGTGAGAAAGCTCTCTCCAGAGCTACTGGAAGCCCAATCTCCGGGACCGGAGAAAGTGGAGCAATATTCTCGCCACGCCAAGCAACAGAACAACCTCAACCTATACAAGTAACCTCGTAAGCATGCTACTGATGCTGGACAGGTTCTCAGTGGCTGCACAATAAACGGCAACATACACATGAATGTAAATAAATAGCCAAATAAACGCTCTCTGTAATATGTTCGCTAGCTGTTAGTGTTGTTGCATAGCAACCACCTCGCACTATGTTTCGTGTAGAAGGCAACGGAGGGACTATTTTATTTTGAACATCATTATTTACTAATAAAAACTATTTAAATTAGAGTGTGTATTTTTCTTTCATATTGCCACACTTGGTAACCGTTTTATAAAAGCAATAGCTCACTTCAGGCCGTGATATATGCTCATTATATCACCGCTTCGCGGCGGGCCGAACCACGCCCCTTAGCTGTGACATAATGAGCATATAGCGCGGCCTGTCGTGAGCTATTGCTTAAGTATATCATTATAATGTTCTTCACCAGAACACCATTTATATTACAGATTTATAACTAGAAAAAGTGGACTCGAGTGCTGAGCTGCACATTATTAATCCTCCTGCTGTCACATAAGTTTCCGTGGAATCTACTGTTGATCCCTTTCCCTCCATAAAAAATACATATATGTGGTCATTTAAAAAGTTTAATACATTGAATACGTTACCCTCTCCTGGTGTCATCTATTAAGGGATATCAGAGTGTTGTGGTTGCAGTGTGGGAGTGGTGAGCGTTGGATGTATTGGGTGA